GTGTGGAAGACAGTTTTCTACAGTTTTACCATTGCTACCCATAACGCCGGGACGGGGGAAAGGCCCCCCCCCCCCCAAGGATTTGCCTATTAGCAACAGAGAGGCGCTAATAATCGAGAGCTCTAAGCTTCACTCGAAAGCGTCATTCGATTAAATTGATAAAACAAAGAAATTTTTTCCCAGCTCAAACAGAAATTACATATCACCATCGTGCTTTTCAAGACTGCTTCGAATTCTGCCGTGCTCTAAGATTGAGGTAGCTAGGATAGAGATAACTTTGCACACAAAAACTGACAAAATATTTCTGTTAAAAGTAAAAATTAACGGAATATTTTCTGTCAGGAAAAATCGCTCAATTCCTTCGACAGTTGAAACGAACGTTAGGATCACCAGCAGGCTGACCGCCAGGCGATGCAAATATTCATACAAACTAAGGAAAAAGTACCCAAAAAAAAAGATCAGGAAAAACATGTAAACATTTTTTCGCAAAAAAAACGAAATATAAAAAACTATTCAAACCTCTGGATGGTACGCAACTGGGGTACAGCTTTTGCGCGGTCTCCCACGCCCTCGACCGCGTCCTCCACGTTTTCTGCTGCTGCTACTGCCTCTGGTTTTAGGACTTTGATGAGATGGGGCAGGAAAATTCTCTTCACCCTCCGTAGATGTATCGGCAAGGGCAATTTGCAGTGCGTCTGTTGGGCTCATTGAAAATAGCAATTCATCGGGGACGTCAGCGCCTGATGGTACTGCTGCCATGGGGATGGCTCGCGAATCGTTTTCGGCCGCATCATCCTGAAAATATTGCATAATACAATGACCCCTTACTTTAGACTATAAATATTTCTGAACTGTAATATTATATTTTTTGAATTTGAGGTAAACTGAGGTGAAGTACAATATTTTTGAAATTTCAGAATTGCGAAATATCAACACTATCCCTTACACAGAAAGTAAATTTCTTGTAAGAAAAGCGAACAGCACAAAACGCATAAAAACGAAAATCAGGATTTCCCGCAGACTGAGAGCACTAATCAATGCGGTTAAGCTGAAAAATTACAAAGTAACTGAAATAACACTTTCCAAAAAACTTTCACATAAAACATAATTTTATGAATATTTAAAAATGCGTATAAAAACTATGTCAGAAATCCAGCAGGTAGACTATCCGCAAAATATTTCACACACTCCTTCCCATCCCCATTAAAGGTTAAAAAGAAAATATCAGGAGAAAAAGGAAATAATGAAAAAGAAAGGGGTATAAAGAAGTATTTGTAAAGGGTAAGAAATGTTTCGTTCCATTAAGTCGTATACATTTCTTACCGTTACCACAACTGGACCTCGTCAGTACGACGATCGTGGTAACACAGTAATTTGGTAAGGTATATAAATTAATTAAGATAAAAACATGTTAAACAAAAGAAATCGAAGTAATAGTAGGAG